TGATTGTGTGTGTGTGTGTGTGTGTGTGTGTGTGTGGTGTTTTTGTGTATGCCAATAAGATGACTCTTGGTGGGCCCCTAGATAATTTCAGAATTGAAGATGGTTGCCAGAGGAACCAGACCAAGGCAGGATTTGAGGGCTGGGATTTTCAGGGATTGAGCTAATTGCAATTTATTTAACCAGGCTTATGTGATGGAATCTCCATAAAAACACTAAACAGACAGGGTTCAGAGAGCTTATGGATTGGATAATTTGAGGTGCTGATGGGCGATGTGTCCAATGCCTTGCCCAATGCATCTCTTCCACTCGACTTCCTGAGTGCAGGTGTCTTTTCTAACAAACCAGTGCTAGTGGATGAAGTGTTTACCTGAGTTCAGTTCTGTGAGCCATTATTGCAAATTATAAAACTTAAGGAGGTGGTCATAGGCACCAATTTGTAGCCATGTCAAGCAGAAGTGTGGGTAACCTGGGGACCCACTGGTGGGAGGCATCTGAAGTGGAGGACAATCTAGTGGGACTGAACCCTTAACTTGTGGGGTCTGCACTAACCCGGGGTAGTTAGTGGCAGAATTGAGTTATAGGATACTCAGTTGGCATCCAGAGATGGAGAAATTGTTTGGTGCGGGAAAAACACATACATTGGGTATCAGAAGTGTTGTGAGCAGAGGAAACAGTTTTAAGACTCCTTTAGCCTCTAACCTAACTCTACCTCACCCTACCCCCAATTTAACAACGATTGTAAGTTTGGTGTGTCCTTTCAATCCATTTTTTATACATTTTTAAAAATATTTTCACCAATACGTTTTCATCCATAACATAGACTATGAATAACTACATTCTGTAATAATTTTCACCATGGATTTGTTATGTATCCTCTATCATATGCCATTTCTAATGTATACATTGATCTGTTTTTATTTTATGCCACTGGTCTCTTTGTCTACTCCTGCACTTATACCCCAACATTTAGATTACTATTAGCTTTCTACTGTGTCTTCATATCTGATAGGCCTAATCCATCTTCTTTGTTCCTTTTCAAAATTAGCTACTTGTGCTTTTAAACTTTTTAATTTTATTTTTTATTTTTTTAGCCCTGGACAGGTAGCTCAATTAATTATACCCCAACATTTAGATTACTATTAGCTTTCTCCTGTGTCTTCATATCTGTTAGGCCTAATCCATCTTCTTTGTTCCTTTTCAAAATTATCTTAGCTACTTGTGCTTTTAAACTTTTTATTTTTTTTATTTTTATTTTTTTAGCCCTGGGCAGGTAGCTCAATTAATTAGAGCATCATCCTAATACACCAAGGTTGTGGGTTTTATCCCCAGGCAGGACATATGTAAGAATCAACTACTGAATGCATAAATAAGTGGAACAACAAATCAGTGTGGATTTTTTTCTCTCTAAAATCAATTTTAAAAAGATAATTTTTATATGAAAAATGTTATCTTTTATAGACACTAGGCCCAGCGATGGGAAGGGGAAGAGTCACAGAAACCTTTTTGGAAAGAGAGGATAAAAAGGTGGGTAGAGATGATGTTCTATTCAGAAAGAAAGCATGAACAGGCATGAAAACAAGAATCTGTACAACCAGTAGGCAGTTTAATATTACTAGAACAAAGGATGAGGTGGGAACATGAGGTGGGTCAGCTCTTAAGGACCTCATAAGCCATACTAAGGAGTCTAGACTTGACCCTATAGGTCAGGGATTCTTTAATCTATTGTCTCTGGTTATGCTTCAGAGGCAATCTAACGCAGGGGAATGCCATAATTAAATTTGTTCCAAATAGATGTCTCTGACGGAAATGTGGCAAATAAATCTGATGAGGTCAAGACTAGAACCAAGACCACTAAAAACCTTCTGCAAAAGTATGGGCATCGTCCCAACATGCCAAGGTCGTGGTTCAATCCCCGGTTAGGGTATATATGAGAATCAACCAAGGAATGCATAAGTGGAAAAACAAATTGATGTTTCTCCTTTCCTCTCTTAAAAAAGAAAAAATGGATAAGCAGGAAATTATAAGAGTAGAACTGATTAAATGGATGTCTAAATAGTAAAAATTAATAACAGTACCTGGTTTGGATTAGAGTGCAAGGAATAGTCTAATCTCACTTATTTCTGACTTGAATAATAGCGTAATTAACTAAAATAGGAAGAAACCACAAGTAAGTCCTGGAGATGAGACGGACCTGTCAGTTGTGGACCTGTCATGTTAGAACTATTGGAAATTCAAGTGGATACATCAAGCAATTGGATATACCTGAAACTTAAGTCAACCTGTAAGACACAGACTTGGAGGTCAGCAGCAGGCATTAATGGCTGACACTATGTTAACCCTTTGCACTCCAAACCATTCTGGACATTGGTTACCAGCTACTCGACGCTAATGGCGGAAACGTGCGTTGAATTAACTCAATTCCCCGTAATCACTAATAAACTGCAATGTCCCCTGAGAGGGGACATCCGAGTGATATGCTAGAATTCCGATGTCCCCTGAGAGGGGACAGCGGAGTGCAAAGGGTTAATCATGTGCCAGACAGAATGTTAAATACTTAATATGAATTATTTAATATTCAAACTAATCTTTTAGATTGGGAATTATTTTTTTATCCCCATTTGACAAAGGTAAACTGGGGAGTTAAGAGTTTATAACTGGCCTATTACAAGATAGCTAAAATGGTGGAGCCAAGATACCAGCACTGAGCACTTAACTACATTCTGTAATGTTAGAACCATTAATTACCTAGAGAAAATATAGCTTAAGAGCAATGGGCCGAGGACAAAATTTTGTAGCACATTAGTGTTTAAAGTGGGCAGAGAAGCCAAAGCTGGTTTGGCTCAGTGGTAGAGCGTTGGTCTGCGGACTGAAGGGTCCCCGGTAGAGGGTGTGCAAGAGGCAGATGGTTGATGTTTCTCTCTCATCAACGTTTCTAGCTCTCTATCTCTCTCCCTTCCTCTCTATAAAAAATCAATAAAATATATTTTTTAAAAAATAAAAATAAAGTGGGCAGAGGAAGTCAAAAGAAAAAATCAAAGTGGTAGAAGGGAACAAGATAGTGGTCCCTACCTGCAGCCAAAGTAGAGCTTCAGTCCTCAGGAAATAGAGGACTGAAATCATCAGTGGATGTGGCACAACGGAGGGGATGTTGATGGAATTTCAATGAAGTAGTGGAGGTGGAAGGAACTTTTAAGTCTCAGAAGTGCTACCATGTGAGACTTCTCTTGAAATAATCTTCACAGTTTCTTTTGTTAGCAGGGGAGGACCCTAAGTAAGTTTATATACTAAGAAGAGATAACTAAAGGAGCAAGGAGTAGAGTTAAGAAAGCTAAGGATGAGGCAGAGACGGCAGGGAAGTTGTTTAGGGGACCAGCTATGGGCACAGGCTGGATAGGGAAGTTTAGGCCCATAAGGGACTGACAGATTGGAATAAAATTAAAGGAGTCAAACCATTTGAAGTCTCCCAAGTTCTAGAATATAATGGAATGAGAATATAAGAAATCGCTTCAAAAAAGACTGATTTTGTACTGTTTTAAAAGTGGCACAGGGGGCAGCTGAGAAAATGGTGACGCTGCCTATACAGGTGAGAAAGCAGAAGAGGCAGCAGAGTCTTTGGTTAATACACCAAGAGAGGATGGGAGCAAAAGGGGTGAAAATGTAAGAAAGCCAAGTTGGTTTTTTATTGATTTTAGAGAGGGAGAAAGTAGCATTGATTTGTTGTTCCACATATTTATGCATTGCATTCATTGGTTGTTTTGTGTATATGCCCTGAGATCAAACCCACAACCAGGAAGTATGGGACAATACTCTAACCAACTAAGCTACCTGGTCAGGGCTAAAGCTGGGTTTTTGTTGTTAATGCTCACCCAAGGACTTTCCATGGATTTTTAGAAAGAGAGATGTGATGCCAAGACTGGTTTGGCTCAGTGGATAGAGCGTTGGCCTGCGGACTGAAAGGTCCCAGGTTCGATTCCAGTCAAGGGCATGTACTTTGGTTGCTGGCACATCCCCAGTAGGGGGTGTACAAGAGGCAGCTGATCGATGATTCTCTCTCATCAATGTTTCTAACTCTCTATCCCTCTCTCTTCATCTCTGTAAAAAATCAACAAAATATATATTTTTTTAAAAAGAGAGATGTGAGAGACACATCAACTGGTTGCCTCCTGCATGGGCCCCAACTGGGTTAGGGCTTGCAATCCAAGTACATGACCTTGACTAGGAATCAAATCCAAGACCCTTCAGTGCACAGGCTGATGCTCTAACCACTGAGACCACTGGCCGAGACTAAAGCTGTTTTTTTTAATCGTGGAAGAGGGCTTTCAGGTGAAAGGTTTAGGAGTAAGGGACAAAGGTCAGAGGAGTATGCACAAAAAGAATGAAAAAGGAAGGAGGTTGATATTTGTGGTGATCACCAAGCACATGAACTAGTAAATCTCAAAATTGAATGGTGGTGGTAATACCTCTCTTCATAGTTGGGTTTTACCTTGAATACATTTTTCTTTCAAATCCTCTTCACAGCACTGTAATAAGACCTGCCGGTTTGATTTCCCATACAGTGGAACAGCGAGAAATTGACCCTTATGCTAACACTACACCCAATGAGCTTATGGAGGTGAACTGTAATTACTATAGACTGCCCAACAACCCTTCCTTTTGGGAATTGAGTCTCTTCCACTTGGTGCAATTTTGAGAGGACTATTAAACAAGGCCTCTGCCTTCCTTAAATGCTGCACAGTAACTGGTGCAGGAATGGTCGCTGACCAAAGAGCTCTGGTCTTTGGTGAAATTGTCAGGGGATTTATACAGCTGCTAGGACAGTCATTTTTATGAGGTCATGAAAGTTGATATTACTACTCCTAAAACTGTATAATACCCACTTCATGGGTATTAAGAGCTCAAGATAGTGGAAATCCAGTCTATGACTAGAAAACAGGTAGTTAAGAGCCCACCTCTGTGGTCGTAGCCTATTTAAATAAACAAAAACACCAAGACACAGACAGACATGACAAAATATTTAATGTCTGTACATGTGCCTTCCCCTGCCCCAATTCCTGTTACGATTTGATAGCCTCCTTATATGGCAGTTCCAGAGAACACAATGGGCACTGATCCCCAGCAGGACTTGAAAACCATTAAGGCCCTGGTTCTCTTGATTTGGATGATTGTTGGTGAGCTCTTTCCACAGCATGCCTCAGGCCTCTCTGGTCAAGGAGAAGAGCCCCAGTTCTATAGGTCTCCTGAGGTCTTCTGTTCTTCTGCAGCCTGGCGCCGGGACATGCGCCGCTGGAAAAAGTGGTAGGCTCGAACACTGCAGAGGTAGCCCCCATACACAGTAAGGAGCATCATGGAGGCGGAGAAAGTCTTGTAGCCAATGTCAGCTAGTTGCTTGGCAGTTGGCATGTCGTCCCCTACAAAGAAAGACTGAATTTAGACACCAGGATAGGTCTCATGTGCCAGCCCACTTCCCTATTGAAAGCCATTCCATAACTTCTGCATCCTGCTTAGTCTGTCTCCTCTACAGAGATGCAGAGTCTTATAGTGGAAGACAACGTTTGGGAATTCTAAGATTCAAAATAAAATCTACACGAGACACAGACATACAGCTGGAACCAGGTGAATCCGGATGACATTTTTTGGAAAGAAGTGACTGTTATGGACCACCCAGAAATGTTAACTGGTACATTAAGCATGCATCGGTTTTTCTGGCTAACAGGCAATTAATGGAGGTAGCCAGGGATTAAACATTAGCAGTAAATTATTCTCTGTAGGAGATCAAATGGGAACTTTCTAGGCAATATCCAATTTATTTTCCCCATAAAAACAATCTTATTCACAGTGGTTAGGTTCCCAGGTTAGCCCTCAAGTATCTGTTTAAGCCATAATATTCCTGAAATAGTGCCAGCCTTCCACAGCATTAACTCTTAAGTTCCAAACACAACACAAAGCACCTATCCCAACGGCTAAAAAGAAATGGAGTCCAGAGCAAATTAACTCACATTTGCATGAGATAAATTACTTCTAATTTAACCATTCCCTGGATATTCTGAGCTAGAGAACAAGAGAAAATCTAGCATGGCAATCTCTCATCCTGCACAAAACATTCCTCAGTTTGGGACTATGAATGTGTTCTTAGACTCCTCTTTGTTGAGGGAATTGAAATAAAAAGATTAGCTGAGATTAGTGAGAATATGTGGGAGAAGAAAAAGCGCAGGATTAGCTGGTTTAGGGAGTCGAGAGTGGGGTGAGATAAGTGCTTCTCTGAGTGAGTTATACGGTCTGAACATTTCCTTAGAGCCAGCCCTTGAAGGTGGACTCCAAGCTGAGCTGAGGCATAGCTTCCTTGAATTATAATTCCAAGTGACTTTAAATAAGGTCAGAGGAAGAAAACCAAATGGCACAGTCTCAAGATGAGGTTATCTGAGCTTTGAAAGGACCCCAAGCTGTGAGACTGAAGAAAACTCACACAAAGAGCAGATTAAGAGACTTGCAGACCTTCAACCTCCCCCCTGCTTCTTTCCCCTCACATTCCCCATAACCCTGGCCAGATGCTAACCACTCCTTTGAGGAGCTGAAGGAAGAAGGCTGGAAGCATTCACTAGCCAAGAAACAAAATGGTACAACCTGGCTAGAGTGACAGAAGACTTAATAGACTTGATTTTGGTATCTAGAATCTCACTTCTCTTGTCTAATCCAACCTAAGATTGTTCCTATTTTCAAATTTTAAAAAACTCTTCACAGGGTGTAGAAAAGAAGACAAATGCAGAAGTTCAAAGAGACTTATTAACTGAATAGATTAGGGCAAAGCTGATAATATCTCCAAGTTAGGAAGCTTTGTCCATTGGGACACTTACTAGAAATAAGAAATAAGAACCAAGGTGGTAATCGCACCGTCAGTCAAGATCTTGAGTTGGGATTTGGACATCTTAAAATTAAGATGCTCAACACAATATTCAGGTGATGGTGGCTATTAGGCAGATGAACATGCAAATCTGGACAGCTCTTGGGCGGTGACGAGTGACACCAAAGCAGAGGATAAGACCAGAGAGATAAGCCAAGGAAACACAAATTTGAAGAAGCAAAATAATTAGGGAAATCCTGCTTCAAGAGGGGGGCTTTTTCGTTTAATATATATATTTTTTTATTGATTTTGTACAGAGAGGAAGGGAGAGAGCTAGAAACGTCGTCGATGAGAGAGAAACATCAACCAGCTGCCTCTTGCACACCCCCTACTGGGGATATGCCTCTTGCACACCCCCTACTGGGGATATGCCCGTAACCAAGGTACATGCCCTTGACCGGAATCGAACCCGGGACCCTTCAGTCCCCAAGCCAACGCTCTATCCACTGAGCCAAACCGGTCTTGGCTTTTTCGTTTTACTATATCCCTCTTCCTGGTTGAAAGTCTCTGCTGTACCAAGTCACCGCCACTGACGGAAGTGTGCTGCATTTTTCAGGTGTACTGGGCCAGAATGAGAATTGGGAACCACTACGGCAAAGTTATGTGCCTTGAAGACTGGTCATATGGGAATAGATGACTAGGTCACAGGTAAACCTAGGGTAAAAATTTAACCAGGGCCCCAGCAGGCCCACGAACCCCGACCCCCTCCAAGGTCAGAGCTACTAGAGTCAGAACGTGGAGGGCCAAGACGCCCCGCTGGAGTCAAGGTTTGACAGGAACCTACAGCTGCAAGGAGCTTGTTGAGCTGGACGCAGTGCAAATCGCGGCCTCGTCCGCGGTGCAGGATACACCGGTGACTTCAAGGGCACGGAAGCCTGAGGACTAGGGCACGGGAGGATGCGGCCCAAACTGGCGCGCCTCCGCTCGCCCCCGCAGACGGCGTACCTGGAGGTTGCAGCTCGCTCCCGTCCACCGAGGCTGCACGGGCAGCGTCCCGCCACCAGTGCGCGCGGCACCTGACACGAGGGCGGCGGTCCAGGAACAACCCTAGACACTGAGGTGCTATTGGTCAGGGAAGCCACCTTTCCCCCTCCCGCCTACCCACCCCAATTACCTTCTGGGATACGACAACTCAGAGAGAGCGCACCGCGTGCCGGACACCGAGGCGGGAGCGCGCGCCGCCCGCAGCCCCGCCTCCTTGCCGTCCTGGAACTTCCGGCTTCCGGCCCAGCCACCCTTACTACGCATCCTCAGACGAGCCTCGGGGTCCAGGAGGCCCGTTGGATTCTGGGGGTTGTAGTCATTCTCCGTTGAGAGAGGGTCTCCGGTGACTCAAACTCTAGAACTGGAACTTTTAAGTACCCAGTCACGAAAGAAGAGGCGGTCTTTGCCGCGGACTCGGTCAATCGCCAGTCCCCGGCCCACGGCGCAGGGAAGTCGCCAGCAGCGGGGTAGGTTCCCCCCGGCCAGCCCTCCGGAGTTGAGCCGCGCGCCTCCTCCAGCCTGGCGCTGCCCTCTGCCCGGTGGCCACGCTCAGGTAGGAAACGACCCGCACCGTGAGGCCTGCACCGCCACGGAGGCCGCAGGCCTGACCATCGCCACGGAGTGGGCACGAGGGCTGCTTCTGCCCTGTGTGTGGCCTCTCTGCCCGCAGGCGGCGTGAGAAAGTCCCAAAGCAGCTCCGGGAAGGAGAGGAGAGGGTGCCCCGTGGGGGAGGAGAACTGCGTGGGCACTGCTAGGGGCAGGGAGCAGCTGGGAACATCAAGGAGGGCTTTCTTCTTTTTCTTTTTTTAAAATATACTTTTTATTGATTTCAAAGAGGAAAGTTGAGGAAGAAAGAAATAGAAACATCAATAATGAGTGAGGCTCATCATTACTGGTCGCCTCCTGCACGCCCCCCACTGAGCCCGCAACCCGGGCATGTGCCCTTCCAGGAATGGAACTGTGACCTCCTGGTTCATAGGAGGATGCTCCACCACTGAGCCAGCCAGCTGGGCAAGGAGGGCTTTCTTTTTCCCCCCTTTTCCTTGGGGTAGAAATGAAAACACACAGCATACAAACTGCCGCAATGCACGGAAGCACCCTTCCCCAACTCGTTTCTGGAAAATACACACATACTTTATTGGGTACACAAATAGCCTCATTTGAAGGCCTTAGATTCAGTTAACTGTGGAGGGAACAAGGGTAGGCAAAAGTGTTTGACTACCTAAACAAGGTCACAGCCGTGCTGAGGGAAGGGAACTGCCTGCCTGCCCTCACTCTGACCTGTATTCAGCCAGCGCCCCTCACTGGGCCAGCCAGATCTGGGGTGGCTTTTTTTCACTGGAAAGTGAATTCTCAGCAGCTAGGTACTGAGAGGAGCCTGCCTCCCTGGTGAGGCTGGGAATAAGAGAGGGTTAACATGGTGCTGGCCAGAGCTAGTTATATGCCTGATGCTGCCATACAGGAAGCTGAGACCCTTTGCTGAATTCGAGGAGCATCTTAGGCCCTCAGGCTATTTATAGCCAGAGCCTAGGCTGCTGACCAGGGACATTCCCTCCCCATCCTGGAGCAAGGCCAGTGCACAGCACACTCCTCCCCTTCTCCCCTCCTGTTCTTCCCTTACCCTCGGACAGCCGGTGTGCCACTGCGGGCACACTGCTGTGCTGCAAGGACTTTTTAAAACATGCGATACCTGACTATTTAGTCAGGGCCACTGACCTCTTTTCCCTTAAGTTCTCAAATAAAAGAATGACAACAGCCAACACAACAATAGCTGTCCAGTGTGAATGATTCAAAACTATACCTTTTTTTTTTTTTTTCAGATTGGTCGTGTGCCACAAAATTTTAGTCATTAGTTTATGTGTGCCATGAGATGAAAAAGGTTGAAAATCACTGCTTTAGGGGTAGGGTGCTTTTCATTCTTTCCCTCCTCCAGTTTTCTAGCTCTTGTGAGAAGGCGTATATATCAGATGACAGAGGGCTGGCCTTGGAATGTCGTGACCCACCAGCATGGGACATGGTCACCCTTCCCTACCCCTGATCAGCTTTTGGGCCACTCTCTGGCCACCTGCCCTCTAGAGCAGCTGGTTAGCCGCTCTGCAGGCCGCTAAGAAATAGGTTGAGGTTTTGGGAGAAGGAAAAGAGGTGGAGCCAAGGATGTCCTGGGGAGGGAGCAGGAGGATCCCAGCTGAAACCAGTCACTGGAGCTCCTGAGAAGGGAGGCGGGGCAAATACAAAGGTCACAGGGAGCAGCGTGATCCGAGCCTGCAGTGAAAAGGTGTAGCTCTGTCCACGGGGGAGGGGGAGGGAAGACTTGGAAAGGTCACGCACTGTGGGGAGGAGCTGGCAAAAAAAACTAGGAACCAGGAAGTCCATGGGGAGAATGACAAGCCCCAGGGTAGCAACTCTGGTGCCAGGGCAGCCTGGGGGAGGGGAAAGGGAATGAACACAGGTTTCTGAGGACGCAGATGTTGCTAGGAGAAGCTAGAAGGGGGTTGAGATCTTTGTATTTTGTTAACAAACACTGAGATCCATTGATGCTGTGCAGGGCCTGGCAGAGGTCAGACAGAGCAAAGGAGTCCCTATGTCAGCTCAAAAGCCCAGATCTCTCCCTGACGGCCCTTGCCGCATCCCTCTTGTGGCTGAGATAGTTCTTTAGCTACTGACCTGGGCTTGGGGACAGAATTCCTGTTCTGTGTGAAGCACCAGTGGGCACCCATTGCCTCACTTCCTTCTCCCTCCGCCATGCACACCCAGAGGCGGCAGCACTGGGCCTTCCCCGAGGACAGGGAGAAAGCGGGCGCCACATCTGGAGGGGATCAAGGCCTCTCTCTCCATTGCTGCTGAGATATGGCAAGAGGCTGCAGGCTGCTTGGTGGTTCAGGGTCTCCAGACAGGTCACTGGGCCCTACAACTTCCTGTCGGTGAAAAGCTGAGAAGGGGCTGCTCTGTGGGGGGTCCCAGATATCTCGGTGGCCAGGTACACAAACTTCTGCCTGTCTCCATGGGGTAAAGAAACTGCCTGGCCTGGGCCACGGCCCTGCTCACATATGTTCTGGATGATTCTGGAGGCAGCGGATGAATTCACCCACTGGCTGGTTCTCGTAGCATATTTTGTACACAGCCGTGAACAGAGGGAACCTGGAATGGAGAGGAGAGACCCAGCTTAGCCTTCTTGTACATCCTCTAACCCCCACTCCACATCCCCTTCGAACCCTCCAGTCTCCTGCCCTCCCACCTTTGAGTTCAGGGAGCCTCTGGTTCTCAATTCCCAGCTGCTGAGAATTTTAACTTCCCAGCTCTGGGTTTTAGGGTCAGGTTGTTAATTGCCTCACTCCCTATCATTGAACTGGCCAACACGATTCCCTGAAATGGTTTTGATCCAAGTGGACAAACCTCTTAACCTCTCTGAGCCTCGGTATCATCACCTGTAAAAGGGGGCCAGTGTGGCACAGCGCTGAAGGGATTCTGAATCTGTGAAGAGCTTCATAAATGCCAGCTTCCTCCTCCTCATCCTCTTGCCCAGGCTGTTTGCTTTACCAGGAGGCTTTACTCTGACCAGCCATGAACCAATCTCTTGAGCCCGTTTCATTCTCTCTTATCCCAGGATTCTTTCTCCGCCAAGAGAGCTCTGCCCTGATCAGCCATCACCCGCTCTTGTCTGTGTGCTTCACATAAAGCAGCACTTTGACGTGGGGACTGTCCTCACACCCAGCCCCCAGGACAGAGGTCAGGGACAGAGGGTTGGCTTTAGGTGAGCAGCTTAGACTCAGGATGATAGACAGAAAAATAGGACAATTTATTCCTAGTCCTGCTTATTCCTGCAGCCCAGAGTTCCAACCCCCACAGCAGAGAATGAGGAAAGAATGGAGGGAGGCCGTGAGAGGGTGAAGCAGTGTGGTATAAAGACCACTAGACTGGAAGGAGTTCAAAGACCGTGAACTCCTAGTTGGGGGACAGTGGGCATCCAGACTCTTTCCAAGCTCTGGTCTCAGTGTGTGTTAACGTAAGATAACATTTCCCTCTCTGCCCACTTTACTACAGATTGAGGAGGGTTCAAGAACTTTAAGAATGGGGAGAGCACTTCCGGCTGTGATTCCCTGCACCAGTGGGCTTGGTCCCCAGTGGGGCTGTGGCAGACACTTACTTTTGTACCAAGCGCTTTTGTTGGAGGATGCTGTGTAGCTCCCGGGCTGTCTGGGGCCCCTGTAGCTTCTGCCCATTCAGCATCTCTGTCTCCAGCTGCTCAATAGTCTGAAAACACAGGACAGGTGGATGGAGATGAGAGAGAGAGGAGGATTAGCGTGAGGTTGAGTCCGGGGCTTGATGAGAGTAGGAAGGTCAAGGAAAGAAAGGCTAGCAACGTTTACAAACTTAATGTTTGTGCTCAGGAGACACCTCAAGCCAGGTTCCTCTGCCTCGACACCTCTAAGCCCACCCTTTGTCCTCCATTCTCCCCGGCGCCCACCTTTCCTGTGCGGGCAAAGGCCTCGGACACCCTGCGGTTCCGCCCTCCGTAGCAGGTGGTGATGAGGTCAGCGATGCCACAGCTCTCCAGGAAGGTGGCGGAGGACACAGGGCCCTTGCAGAAGAGCTTGGCGAAGGCGATCATCTCCATGAGGCCCAGTCGGATCACCGCTGCCTTGGTGTTGTCGCCAAAGCCCAGCCCATCGCAGAAGCCAGCCCCCACGGCCACTACATTCTTTGGAAAATGGAAGTCACAGATGAGAAAGGATTCCCTTCTTCAGGGCCCACTCGGAGCTCTCGCCACCTGCCTCATGCTGCTTCCATCAGCTATGATATGCCCACTGAAGGAGTGAAGCGTAGTGGGTGGCTCTGTGACTATTTCTACCTCGTGGTTTTCCCACTTGTGCTCTCCCCTAGCCTGGGCTTATGCTGCCTGGCTCCCCAACTCTGCTCCATCCTCCATCCTTGAGGAATTTACTGAAAACCAGTCTTCCATCTGGCTGGCTCCCCCGCCCATGCCTATCGCTGATATCCACAGCTCTGTCTAGGGTCCAGAGTTCTAGCCATCAGTCTGTCTGGGTGTTCTGGGCATCTCCCATGAGCCTGAGTGCTCCCTCAGAGCATCTCCTCTTCTCCTTGGACCGCCCCTGGAGCCAGGGA